GGCTTGCCTTAAGCTTTAGGCTTTCTCACATGCTATACTTGCTTTGTTTGGTTGATTTGACATCATTCCTCACATATTTTCAGAGCTTATTGCATTGCCACATTCTCACATTTGTCACACCTTGCTCATGCTTAAGAGTTGGTGTCTTGTTGCCTTGCTTTTGAACCTAAGTGTATGCATGTTTGTGTGTGTTTTCATGCTTCCAATTCAACACTCTGGCCACTGGTTTGGGCATGTTTGAGAGCTGTCCATTTTAGTTTAAGCCCATTTTTGCATGTTGTTGCATGCTTGCCTTGCATGTTGTTGCATACTTGGTACATTGCACGTTGTTACATGCTAATTCCATTACATGTTGTTGCATGCTAATTTCATCGCATCATGCTTGCATGTTTGCATAGCATTGTGTGTGCATGCCTTGCCTCTTGATCAAACATGATAGAGATTGAGGTCTCTTATGTGATTTTGTGCATTCATTCCATATTGAATTGCACACTTGGCTCCTTCGGCCATCATGCATTAGAATGCGTGATTGGTGGCCTGAGGGTCGAGAACTACACACCTTTGATTCTCAAACATGATAAGGCGTGTAGTTACAAACATTATCTTGCAAATTTATTGCCATACCTCTGTTTGTCCTCTGCTGCAGCAAAACAACATTTTACAGGAAAAGATGGCCGATCGGCTATCTGGTGTGCCGATCGGCTAAAAGTGTTTGGCCGATGACCTCATAAATGGTCGATGACACCTTTTCTTTGGCCGATGGCTTCACCATTTGGCCGATGGCCTCTCAGCATGTCCATGAAGTGGTTCTGGAGCATCACAGGACTTTTCACAATTCTCAGAGGTGCAGAACAGTGCAAACAGAGGCAACATGAGGCATGGCAACGGATTTCCGAGCGAAGCTGATCAAGCATGCATTTGTCCCTCTTGTCGAGGCCGCTTTACTGTTTTTGTAGCTTAATTAATTTGTTTAATTGGTTAAGAGTTGTGTAATAATTAATTAGCTTGTTAGTTGATTAATTAGTTGATTTGTATTATTCTTTCGGACCCTCCGTCGAGAGGGCCAATTGTTGTAATAAGCGTGCGTGAGTGTGTGCATGTCTTCCAACCCCACGTCTTTCTCTCTTTTACTTAAACAGCTTACGATGGTTAGTTTTAGGGCATATTTCATTTAGCATCCTTGTGCTATGCATGTTTGCATCATTCATCTGTACTGCATGCATCAGGCTCGGCGCATCATACTAACTGCATCGTATTTCAATTCCTACTTGAATACATGTATCGAATTGTTGTATTTCATATGCCATCTTAGAATAGCCGAGCCTATTTCTAGTTGCATTTTGCATGTGTTTCATTAGCCGTCTTAACATAAACTTGGATCATGTAATGATTACTAACTAGCTATTGTTTTGGCTCGGAGTACACTGTGAGTGTTTATGCTTTAGCATCTTGCATGTGTGTAAGTGTTGCCATGATAACATGCTTGCCATGAGACTATTTGCTTATGTGATATAACTGCCTGAATGCCTGTGGGTGAAGGTTGGATTGCTTGAATTGGAATAATTCATCAAATCTCCGATTTAGCCTACTTGCGAGTAGCAAACTTCAAATCATTTTCATAAACGAATATGCAATGTTTTGTTCCAACTTAGACGATCTAGTCTATACTTGTATGTTGTGCGCATCACATAGTAATTCTAGGTTAATAACTGGAAAAAGAGCACATGTGTTTTCAAAAACAAAATATCATGCTTAGTACAGGCCGATCTTTGATCGGGCCAGCGGGGGTGCTCATTGCATGACCTTCCCCTTTCATACCCAAGTTCCCGAGCCAAGGCAACTTTGGTGATGATGGACACGTGGCCTTAGGCAACGAGTCAGGGTTTCCTAAATTCCCCCAAAATAAATATTTAGGTGGCGACTCTGTATCTGGAAAAGCAGTCCATGTTTGGCACTTCTTTACAAAAATCAGTTTTCCAAAACGATTTGCCGGATTTGGACTTTTTGGTGATTTATCGGTCTTGCATTGCACTTTGCGAGATTAGATTCAGAACCATGACATTGAGTCCAAACTATAGTAGCTAGAGAGCAAACAAGATTTCGCGCCTTCGCAAGCGCGGAGCTTCGGGAGCCCTCGGGGCGCGTCTACAATATGATGGATGGTTTATTGCCTATTATTTCGGGACATTACGCCTGAGGACTCAAAAAGTTGTGGATACTTTTGTCCTAATTCGTCCTTGAGTTCCCAAGTAGCTTCTCTTTCCGAGTGATTGCTCATTTGAACCTTAACATAGTGAATGACTCAGTAACTCAAAACTTGTTCCTTTCTATCTACGATTCGTAGAAGCTGTTCCTTATAGGTCAAATCCTCCTTAAACTACAATGGTGGATGATCAATCACATGACTAGGATTCAATATATACTTCTTCAACGTTGAAACATGAAAGACATCATGAGCTCTAGTAAGTGAAGGCAGTAGGGCAACTCTGTAAGCTACCTCTCCAATTCAATCTAAAACCTCAAATGGCCCAACAAATCTAGGGCTTAATTTACCACAAATACCAAACTCATTACTCTTTTCATAGGAGACACCTTAAGGAACACATGGTCTCTAACCTCGAACAACAAATCGCGTTTTCTATTATCTGCATAACTTTTTTGTCTGCTTTGTGCTATGCGAAGTCGCTCTCTAATAAGATTGATTTGTCCACTGTTTGTTGCACAATTTAACGCCCTAACAACTTCCTCTCGCCTATATCATCCCAGCAAATAGGTGATCTACACTTCCGTTCATATAAAGCCTCATATGGTGCCATTTGAATACTCACATGATAACTGTTATTATAAGAGAATTCCACTAAGGCCAAATGCTCATCCCAAGAACCTCCAAGATCAATAACAAGCCCTCAACATGTCTTCAAGAGTTTGAATAGTTCTCTTTGACTATCCGTCATTCTGAGGAAGAAAAGCAGTGTTGAAATTCAAACTAGTACTCAAAGATGCATGCAAACTCCTCCAAAACATAGATATAAATCTGCTATCTCTATCGGAACATTATGGTCACCAGAATGCCATGCAACCTCACAATCTTTTTGATATACAATTTTGCAAATCGCTCTAAGGATAACTCAACCTTAAAAGCTAGAAAGTGAGCAGATTTTGTCACTCTGTCAATGATTACCCAGATAGCATTGTTACCACCTTGGGTCCTAGACAACCCTATCAAAAAATCCATGGTAATATGTTCCCATTTCCACTTGGGAATAGGAATGGGTTGTAACTTACTTATAGGTCTCTGATGTTCAATTTTCACTTATTGACATACCAAACATTGAGCAACATATTGAACAATTTCCCTCTTCATATTATTCCACCAAAAGTTCCTCTTCAAGTCTATACATTTTAGTACTCCTTGGATGTACAGTATACCCCGAACTGTGAGCTTCCTTAGGAATTCTCTCTTGAGCTCTAAATAATTAGGCACACACAACCTTTCTCCAAATCTTAAGGTTTCATCTTTGTGTATACAAAATTCAAATAATAACCCTATTTCTATTTTTGCTCTAATTTTTTGTAACCAAGGATCCCTTCCCTGAGCAACTTTAATTCTATTAATCAATGTGGGTTAAACTCTAAGGTTTGACAACTGCATTTCATGTTTGTGCCATCTAATCACAATATTCAATCTTTGCAAATCCTCCAAGATATTCTTTTGGTTAGTGATCAAGGTTGCCAAATTACTCGGGGTCTTTCTACTCAAGCATCTGCAACTGCATTGGCTTTTCTTGGGTGATAATTGATGGTCAAATCATAGTCCTTTAGTAGCTCCACCCATCGCCTTTGCTTGATATTCAATTCTTTTTGAGTAAAAACATACTTCAGACTTTTATGATTAGTGAATATCTCACATTTTACTCCATATAAGTAATGTTTCTAGATCTTCAATGTAAACACTATTGTAGCCTACTCCAAATCATGTGTGGGATAATTCCGCTCATATGGCTTCAACTGTCTAGATGCATACTCCATTACCTTGTCATTCTATATCAGAACACATCCCAAGCCCATCTTTGATGCATCACTATAGAAGGTAAAACCTTCCTTCCTGGATGGAATAATAAGTACTGCAATAGAAACCAATCGACTCTTTAGATCCTAGAAACTCTTCTCACAATCATCAAACCAGTCAAATTTTAACCTTTTTTTGTGTCAAACGAGTTAAAGGCATAGAAATTCAGGAAAATCCCTAAACGAACGTTCTATAATATCCTGCTAAACCCAAGAAACTACGAATTTCAATGATATTAGTAAGTCTATTCCATTACTTTACAATAGCCTCCACCTTCTTGGGGTCAACAGACACCACATTTTTAAATATCACATGTCCCAAAAATAATACTCTCCAGCCAGAATTCACACTTCTTTAATTTAGTAAACAATTTCTTCTCCCTTAAGATTTGCAACACTATTCTCAAATGATCTTTGTGTTGTCCTTTACTCTTCGAGTACACAAGAATGTCATCAATATAAACTATCACAAGCTAATCTAAGAAGGGTTTAAATACTCTATTAATTAAATCCATGAAAACTACTGGTGCATTGGTCAATCCAAACGGCATTACTAGAAATTCATAATGCCCATACCTAGTTTGGAAGGCTGTCTTAGGTACATCCTTCATCTTAACCTTCCACTGATGATAGCCAGAACGAAGGTCAATCTTAGAGAAGACTTGTGCTCCTTGCAACTGATCAAATAGGTCATATATTCCTGGCAAATGATATTTATTTCGAATTGTCATCTTGTTTAACTCTCGATAATCAACGCAAAGGAGAAAACTACCACCATTTTTTTTCACAAATAACACAGGAGCACCCTAAGAAGAAACACTAGGCCTAATAAAGCCCTTATCTAGTAACTCTTTTAAATGTTCCTTCAACTCTTTCAACTTTGCTGGGGACATCTGATATGGAGCCTTGGAGATAGGACCCATGTTGGGTATTCATTTAATTACAAACTCAACCTCCCTATCTGGTGGCAGCCCCGGAAAGTCTTTAGGGAAAACATCAGAAAATTTCTTCCCAATTAGAATATTCTTTAACTTCAACTCAGTTGCATGGGTATCTCTCACAGAAGCTAAATAACCCTTGCAACCATTCCTTAACAATCGTCTAGCTTGCAAAGTTAAGATTACTAGAGGAATGTTAACTCCACTACCCAAAAAACAAAATTCTGGTTGATCTGGGATTTGAAATACTACCCTTTTGCCTCGACAATCAACATAAGCATAATTAGCTACCAGCCAATCCATCCTAAAAATTATATCAAAGTCTTGCATATCTAACACAATTAGGTCTACAAGCAACTCCTTACCATTTATACTAACTACACAAGATTAACAAATCAAGTCAGCAACCATAACACCCCCTATTAGGGTTTCAACACATAAGTCAATCTCTCTATGGACACATTTCCATCAATGTTTCTTAATAAGTCCTATAGGCACAAACGAATTTGTAGCGCGAAAATCAAATAACATATGTGCATAAACATAAGACATTGAAACAGTACTTGACACCATCGTGTTGGAGGTCTATACATCTTGTTGTGTAAGTGCGTGCACTCGGCCTTGAGTCTTTGACTTATGACCTCCATCTTTCTTTTGATTTGTTGAAAACATTCTACTTGTTGAAGCTCCTTTATTTGTCCATGTTTTCTGTTCAGTGTCACATCTCTTCCAGCTAGGGAAATTAGCTATCGTGCGCCCCTGTTGTCTGCAGGAGAAGCAAGTCCTAGTATTCCAATAACACTCACTATCCTGATGAAACCCATTACATCTAGTGCACTGTACCCAATCATTCTGCTTATCAATGCTACCACCCACAGTTTGACTTCTTCAACTCCCAACTGAAGAAGTGTTCCATCTCTTAGCATTGTCCTTTGAACTGCTGTTAGTTTAGAAGTTGGATGAACTAGGTCATTTCTTATAATTCTCTTCTTTCTCCTTTTGGTGTTTAATGAGGCCACTTTCAGTCAATAACACCTTATTCAACACTGCTCCAAAAGTAAGCAACTCAAAAGGTACCACCTGTTGCTTAATTTTCGTCGTTAGTCCATTGTAGACACCACATTTTGACTAGCCCTCTACATTACACGGACTCTTTAAAATTTTGAAGGTACTCGTGTCGACACAAAACGACACGACATGGTTACGAGTGTAGGATATGGCTGGGATACGGCTCTTTTCAAATGAATATGGCTATGTTTTGCCCTAAATACAGAAAAAACGAAAGAATAGAGAGAAATGAGAGAACCCATCTTCCTCGTCGATCTGGTCTTCTATGTCTTCTTTGATCTCGTCTATCGTCTTCTTCTCTATTGATCTCATCTTCTCTCTCTCCGCTGATCTATCTTCTCTTCTTCCTCTTCCTCTCTCTCCTCCTCCTCTCTCTCTCTCTCTCTCCCGTTAACATATAATAAATAAAATAACCACCTAATTGTTTAAAAGAAATCTAATTAAATTAGTGTTTTGCATAGGCCTACTATCCTCACGTGGGCTGGTTCTTATATATTCTAGTTCCCTTCTAACATATAATAAATAAAAGAAGCCACCTAATTGTTTAAAAGAAATTTAATTAAATTAGTGCTTTGCATAGGCCTACTATCCTCACGTGGGCTGGTTCTTATATATTCTGGTAAGTGGCCCACAATTGCAATTATTGTTAGTAATATTGGAAGTTTTTCTATTTAGCCCACCACTTATATTGAGGTTGGGATGTGCATGTAAAGTGCCCTAACATGTTGTGTAAAACATAGTGGGCCCGCTGTGTACCATTGTGGATCCTCACGTGGGCTGGTTCTTATATATTCTGGTAAGTGGCCCACAATTGCAATTATTGTTAGTAATATTGGAAGTTTTTCTATTTAGCCCACCACTTATATTGAGGTTGGGATGTGCATGTAAAGTGCCCTAACATGTTGTGTAAAACATAGTGGGCCCACTGTGTACCATTATGGGCTACAAATGTTAACTTGGCGTGGGCCATCCTTATGGGTTGTTTGTTATCATAAGAAATCTATAAAATAAAATATCTAATTTTTATTTTTATTTACTTTAACGTAATTTGTTATTCCTTATTTGTTATAATTTTCTTATTTATAATATATATGTCAATTAAAAATAAAAAATAAATTATGTAGATAAATTAAAAATATTATCAATAAAAAATAATACATAAGATATAAAAATAATAAATATATTTAAAAATTAAATATTTAACTCATCTTTATGTAATAAATATATTTTTAAAATAACTATTTAATGTATCCCCGTACCCATATCCACATTTGGATCTATATTCACGTATTCTCAATTTTTAGTTTTAAAGTGTCCGACCCCAAGATACGCACCCGCACCTAGTACCCACACCTGAGTCCATGTAATGTAGCCCTAAGACTTGGGTTCTTTCTTCCGAACACCTAATGATGAAAATTGGAATGTATATTTTATGAATTTCTCAACAGAAAAATCGGATTTAAGTTTTAATCCCAACCTTCACCCGTTTTGGCCAAATTATTTTAGACCCGTTCGAAAACTAATTTTGTCCACCTATGCATTGTTCAGATATTTCTTCATTCCAAATTTTATACACATCAATCTCCACTACCAAAAGGATCTTGGCTCTTCAAAAAAGAAAGAGATAAAGCAAGGGTCAAGTTATCTCTTTTTATCCTCCATTTTACATTCTCTTCCACCTTCCACCTTCTCCACTAAGAGTTCCTTCTTCAATTGCCTATATAAGAAGGCCACTAGGGCTATAAAAGGGTGTGAAATTTCTGGATTAGAGAGAGGTCTAAGCTTTGATCAAAGAAAGAGTTTGTTTTGTCAAAATTGAGAAAAAATACAAAGTGAGATATAAACCTCCACTTTCCTACCTTTTTCATTGATCTCCATTGATATATACAACCCAAAACTTCAGTAAAGCTAAAACTTGAATTTTCGTACTGAGATTTCAAAAACATACTCCATAACCTAAGGGTGTAAAGAAGAAAGTTTGACAATCAAAAAATTCATCCTTTCCTCCAAAGGTGAATTTTTACAAATCTTTTCGTTTATTTTTGTAGACACCCCATTTTTGACCATCCTCAAGACTTGGTTGTGCTTGTAGGTACATCCAACAACAAGTTCGATTGCTCGTCGAGTACTCGACTTTCGCGACGGAACGTCACAGGTTTGAGCTTTCCAAACCCTGTATCCTTTTTGCTCCATTTTTGGACCATGTGTTGGACCTTTTAGCATGCTTCTCCTGAGGCACTGCCGGCCATGCACTTTCCCCTGCCTGCTTTTGATGAAGCCTGCTGGCCATCAATGAGGCACTGCCGGCCACAGCTGATGGCCGGCAGAACCCTTTGTCTCAGCAGATTTCACGCCAGATCTTTTGAGCCAGCTGGTTTTCACTCATCCCTCCTCCATACACGTATATAGAGGGATGAAGCCCTTGCCAAGTTTGTTTAACAAGCTTCTCATTGAATTCCTCTATATAAAGAGAGGCTCTTCCTCCCTTACAGAGGTTCAGCACATTTTGAAGAGTTGTATCTCTCTCTCTATATTGTGTTTGTTTGTGCTCTAAAGTCCATTTTTCTTTCACTTTTGCACTACAACACATAGTGATACACCACCACCTTTGAGCTGAGGTTCTTGGGAGTGTTATTTGAGCTCTGAAAGTTGGTCTTTGGCCTCAGATTTTGCTGGTTTCGAAGTTGAGCTTCAAGGGTGAGTATTTTCCCCTTTTTAGCATTTGTTTGTATCACATTTTGGCCATCCTTGCATGTTGATTTAGGCCTTGCTTTCAACTGAAAAAATTTCTATATTTAAGGGCTTTTGATGATTGTTTAAGGCCTCTTTGGTGTTTAGGGTGTTCTACCCTCTTGTATGCCTTGTTTGGCCTTGTTTTGTGCCATGCTTTAAGGTCTTTGAGTTAGTATTTGTTTGGCCTTCTAGACACTGAAATCTAGTGGATTTTCAGTGGTAGGCATGTGGTTTTGAGGCCTAAAATCAGAGGGGGGTGACCCCCTCTCTTTTTGTTTTGTTTGCTTGAGTTATTGGCCTATCAAAGGAGCATGTATCTCTATACTTTTGAGGCTTAGTTCAGGCACTTTTTTGGGACTTTTAGGGTCTACCTTAACTCTGTCCATGGCTGGTTTGGTCACCTTGTGCATGCATCTTGTATGCGTAGTGTAATTCCATTTGTGGCTCATCAAAGTAGCATGTCTTGCTAGCATGTGTTGGCTCCATTTCAGTGGGTTTTTTTATCATCATTTGACATCTCATAACTCTCTCTAAAGTTGGTTTGGTAGTCTCTTGAGTGGCTCATGAACTTGTAGAACAAATCTTGCATACTAGCTTTATGTGCATGATGTTTTGACTCATTATTCTAGCATATTTTGGCTATGCTCTAGCATGATTTTATTCATATTTTGGGCTGTTCTAGGACTGTTTTGGTCTGCCATGGTCATGGGACTCATGTTTAATATAGCTATAGAGCAAATGCTTTGACTAGCCTTGAGTTTTAAGGGAGCTTGCATGCTTAACTTGTGATGTTTTCATGCTTTGGCATCATTTGGAGTATTATATCAGTGCATATTTCATGGTCATACACTTGCCTTTGTCATGTTTTCAATGCCTTGAAGAGTTGGTGCTTTATGCCTCATGAATGGATCACTGTGCATGCCTCTATGCTTAGGTCTTTGGGATGCCATCTTGTTAGGTTTTTGGGCTTATTTTGACATGATGTAACTCTGTTTTATGTTGTCCAAGTCGTGCAATGTTTGGTTTTAATAGGTGTAGTGTAATACCCCTTTTGTAGCCTTGCATGCTCCATGTTTTTGGCCTTTTGTTCTAGCTTGTATTGGCTAGGTTCAAACAAGTTTTTAGTCTCACCTTGACCTACCTTGGGACTGTTTTGGGTGCCCTTGCCCCTTTGAGGCTTGTTTTGCATGGCCATGGCTTAAGTCCCTTTGCTAGTTTCTAGCTTTGAGCTTTCTTGCATGCTTTGTTTGTCTTGCTAGGGTGGTTTGGCACCATTCCATGCATGTTTTCAGAACTTATGGTGCTGTCACATATCCATGCTTGTCACTCTTTAAGTGTGCTTAAGAGTCGCATCTTTGTGCTTTGATCCTTGAGCCAATTGGCATGCATGTTTGCCTTACCTTTTCATGCTTTTTCACACCATCATTTCAACACTATTGGCCACTGATTTGGGCACGATTGAGGTCTGTCCATTTTGGTTTAAGTCCATTGAGCATTGTGTATGCCATGTAGTTCATCACATTGTGTATGCCAGGTTATACCATTGCATTTGTGTATGCCATGTTCATATCATTGT